TACAGAAGTCCAAATGAACAAAAGGAGTGTGAGGCTATATTGTTGCATTTATTTTATTCGTTTGTTTTGGATGAGGTTTTTCAGGATGTCTCTATTTCTGTCATGTTTGGGCTGCTAGCGAAACAAAGAAGCAAAAGAAAAGCTTCATGGCCCATACCAGATATCATGAAACTTCATGTAATGCAGCTGTCAATGCCTGGTTCTAGTACAAAAGTACTGAGTAAGGGATGACGAGAGCATTAGCTCCCTGGTATTGGACTGGGAACTTCTGTGAGCAATTAGAGAAAAGCTACAAAACTGTGCAGAGATGGAGAGTTTGTGTTTCTTCCCCTCCAAAGCTTTGGGCAGTGGGCTTGCTCTCTTCCAGTGCATCTCTGCTGGGTGTTACTGCAGAGAGAGAAGAAGCACATCTTTTCCTTTTTTTGCATCAGTAAGGCTGACTCCTTACTGGTGCCCTGTGTACAGATAGCCAAGCACAAAAAGGAACATAAACTTCCCTCTCTTATCTGTGAAATAATTTCTTTAGAAAGACAAAGAATTTGAGCCCTAGCAGTGTTTGTGATTAATACCTGCTTCAAATCTTTGAAACATTTGTTTTGTGACAAAAGATTAATCACAGTAGATTATCAGTTTTAAAGGTCTTTGGTTTATTTTTTGTTGCTGAAAATTACATGTATTTAAAAAACAATGAATATCTCTTCCTAGGAATGTACATACTGTCTTCATCTGTCTTTTTGTATGAGCTTGCTACATGTTGCCAAGTCCTATGGAATTATTTCCAGTCTGTTTGAATGTTTTTTTCCCCTTATTCAAGTATAAGCACAATGACAAATCAAAGCTGCAGTATGAAATGTGTTTTACTGGGAAATGACCATGGTGAATTCAATGCCGTGCTGGTTACTTGCTGTATTTCAAGGGGGAAGAGCTATATTTGATCTTGGGGGCGGAATAGAAAACCACAGTGTGCAGGCTGCTGGCTGCTCCATTGCTAATTCATTGGCAGTTTGGGGGAAAATATATCTCCATTTTCTCTTTATTTTTTAGGCCAGATATTAGCATGAAATATGGCTCTAACCATTTCAACAAGAGTTCAGTGTAAAATTTAATTCCTTGGATATTTTTCTATTTTTCAGAGCAATAACTAAGTCTTTTAACTCCTGCTAATCATAATAAAGAGTAAAATAAATAAAGGTAAAAAGTCACTGCTCCTTTAAATCAGTGTCACCAGTGACTCAGAATATCTATTGATTTTTTTCTTTATTCCTACCAGCAGTTTAGTTTGAGATTCAGCAGGTCCACTCTGAGAAAATTCTGCATAAAGCACTGCTGGACATTCTTGGTTAATACTGCTTTTTGAATTCTGTTTAAGAAATTCTAAGTAAGTAAAAGTAATTATATCTGTAACATGTTAAAACATCTATCTAAAAGGCTAGTACAATTTCCAGTTTATAGCTCTTGTTACGTATTTTTAAGTCTATAATTACTGGATTGTATAAATTCATATATTTATTCAAATTTTTTCAGACAACATCTATGCAAATTTAAAAAGTCAATTATATTCCCCCAGACATACTACTTTCTGAATATAACAGAATTGCAGCATGATTTTGAAAAAAACCCCAAACAACTATGCTGCATTTTCCCTGCAGATAGTGTCTGTATCAACAAATCATCTGGACAAAATGATTATGGGCTGTTTGTCTTTACCCTTTGTAATGCGCTAAGCAAATTTCAGTGCTTCATCCCCACGTGAACCTCTTGCTAATTGGTGTTTATACCATGTTTGTCAGTTTATTCCTGCATTTTTGTGAGGCCAATTCCAGATGTGCATCAGCTGTTATTCCATGTGGGATTGTGTGACAATATTCCACCTGCAAGCCCAGTGGAAGGAAGGTAAAGGATGGTAACCTGAGGCTCTGTGAAATCGTGAAAGCTGCAGAAAAATAAATGGGAAGGGCAGCCATTAGGGAGAAGAGCGAGATGCATGTGTAGAATAAAAGCTATTAATAAAAAGCTTTGCCTCCTGAGTCACCATGCTTCCCATATAAATTTCCATCTTGGCATGTGGCCACGGCTGTAATTATTTGTATTAAAAAGTAGTATCAGGAATGTAGTGTATTTTTAGCTGTCACTACAGCAGTAGAAACCAAAAAAAAGGTTAACATTGTACTGTAAGCCAGTTTTCTAAAGACCATCTGAGATCTGTGAGATCTGTGGTTGTAATTTGGAAACCTTTGGCAAGAAATACCAATGTACAACACAAACATCTCTGAAATTCCAGAGACATACATTTGTAGCTGATGTATTTGTTACTTGCTATGTATAGATCTTTCTGAAGTCTTCTGCCATTTCACAAACAAGCTTAGATGGTCCCTCTCCATTTTCACTTGGTTGGCTTTCATTCTGTTTCCTTAGCAGACAGTAAGTTTTTTCTTTGTTTTCAGGATTATGTGCTAGAGAACTTTACTTGTTAAATGTATCTTCACTTCCATCAGCCTTCGAAGGGAGGCCTCTGAGAAGTCTGTTATCTCTCTTACACATTTGATTTTCTACTGGTTTGGAAATTTGGAGGTTAACATAAAAGATCTGAAATGCATATCCTGCATGGGAAGTGAAAAATGTTAAGAAATAAATTGCTAGTGTACTTTTGTGCAAAGAAGAATTAATTTAAGGAAGCCACACTGAATTGTTGAAATTTCCTCTATTGTAATTTTAAAATGCCAGATCAGGAAGAGGCCTTGAACATAAGTGGTGTCTAAAGTCCATGGCTGACAATTCATCTTTGAAGAGTTCTTTGGCTGTGTACCTGAAGAAAGAGAGATATTGTTAATTTACATTGTAAAGAGTAATGAACATAAAGCCCAGTGCAAAGAGGATTAATCATGAAGATAGGTCACTGTTGAATGCCTGGCACTCCCTGAAAACGTGACACCACCTGATGTATTTAAGTCTTGTTGGGACCCTGTGCTGTAGCTGTTATGAGAAGGACTCTGGAGCTACATTGTAAATCAAATAACTTCATCTGATGCGCATGAAGTTGGTGCAGTGGCCTTGGAGGGGAAGAGGGTGACAAGAATTCCCAGTTTGTCTCAAGGAGCCCCTGTCTCTTGAACAGTAGCAGTATCAGTAAATAGATTTGAGCAGGAAATCTCCTTTACGAGGGAAAAAATGGGGGGAGAAGTGATATGAAAAATAGCTAGAATACAGGAGAGGAAGAACTGGAAAACTCCCCAGATCAAGCCAATAGAAACATGATGAACTGGGAAAAAAAATGAAAGACTTAAAGCCAAACTGTGTAAAAATTAAAGCTAAACTATTTAAAAATTTAAAAAGTCATTGGGACCAAAAAGAAAAATCTTAAGCAATGGAGAAATAGAGAAAAAGACAGATTTGTAGAAAAGATAGTGGTTTAGTTTTGGTCTATGCCTTTTTTGAAACATGAGTTTAGAAGATCTTTGGTAACCAGATGAAGAAAATCTTTAAAATCATTTAATTAGATTGAAGGCCAAAAGGTAAACTCTTGTGATAAGCAAAACATGTTCACTGTTCATTTACCTTCCAATTGATTTTCCTTCTTCCTTTTGCAGACTTGTCATTTTTTCTGTAGTTTTTACTACTCTTAAGCAACCATTGCCTTGTGCTCTACATTTTTATGATGTAAAGATTCGAAGGGAAGTAAGTTTATCTGTGTATGAGAAAAAACTCTCCCCACCTACTGTCCAGCAATACCAGCTATGAGGGATGATTTTCTTCCTTTCAAGTCGCTACAACTAGAGAATTTATTTCTTGATTTATTACTTCCTTCAAATGTAATTTATTTAGGTTGTTCAGCTGTTCATTCAGAAACATGCTGAATTTAAATTTTATCTCTTTGGGTGTAAATGATATCTTTACAAAAAGAAATCAGTGATCTCAAACACAGTTGTTTTTAAAGATCTGTCAGTTTTATAATTTATATGTTTTACACTAATAAACATGCCATTATTATTGGCATTAAGGTCACCATATTCCTTTTTGTTTGGAAAGAAGCAAACATCACTGTGCATTTATTGGGCATTTATTGTGTTATACTGTGTTTAGTGGAAATTGTTTCCTCTGCCTACAAGATGCAGCTTTGGGAACAAAACTGCTTCACTGATAATTAACATGTTAATCAGATGTGCCATAAAGCCATGCATGGTGTCTAAAAGGCCATTGTCCTGTGCTTTTCTAGAGCTTGGTTTCTTGTCTCATCATTTCAAGTAGAAATTCTTGAGTGCTAAATCTGAATTAAATGAAACACTCCCTCTACATCAACATCCAGAAGCTTTAAATTACATTGAATTATGTAGGGATGAACTTGACAAGATATCCTCAACCAGTGACCTGCTAAGAGTCTTTCCCAAAGAGAATTGAAGGTCACCTATTGTTATTTGTGTGGTACAGACTTGATTGCACATTGATTTGAAGCTGGGTAGATTTTTCTGTCTTTATGTCTTTATAATGATCTTAAAACTGTTATTTGCACTCTCTTACTGTACTATAATGCCAAAAGAAAGGTCACAGAAATTTATGTTTTTGCATTTCAATATATAAGAGAAGGTTATGAGTTAGCAGAGGTGAATGAAAAGCTTTTTTCATCCCTCAGCCGAGTAAGCTGTGAGATTTTGCATTCATTTGGGTTGGGTTTGATCTTTTTTAAAAGCAAGGGCTTTTTTTCAATCTGAGCATTAGGTTTTTGCAGTGAAATTTGTGTTCAAAGTTTGGTTTTAGTATCTTCTCTTCAGCTGTTTGATTTTTAGCATTTCAGTATCTTCTGTAGCTTATAGCACCCTAATAGTTCAACGTCCTTAAGCAAAAATAGAGTAAGAAGAACTTAATCCAGAAGAGTGCATCTGTTTTGCCTTATAGATTGTTTGCATCTGACCCTTGATAATGGCTGGTTCATAACTGCAGATTTTTAGAATTCACTTTCAGTGTGTGCTGGTCTGAACTTTTTATTCTTGTTTTCTTTTTTGTAGATTACAGATAGAAGAATCTTCTAAACCTGTAAGGTTATCCCAGCAGCTGGACAAAGCTGTAACCACGAACTATAAACCAGTGGCTAATCATCAGTATAATGTAAGTAGCTTTTAATATTTTCCCTTCTTTTCTTCAGGAGGAATTTGGCTTAGGACTCCAGGACTGCTCTGCTGCTGTCCAGCAGCTCTTTTGCTCACAGTTGGCCACTGTCTTTGTCAATGGTCTATGTCACCTGATTTCTCCTTGATTTTGTCTTCTGGGGATCTTCTTTCTGTCTCAAGACCAGTATCACCCTTGGGGCTAAGGTCTGCCAGTCGTAACTGTCTTGTGTTATCTGATGGAGGGCAGACCACCTTCACCCAACCCTTTTTAGTGGCTTTATTACAGTCTTCCTCTAATCTTTTTTTTAATGTAATTTTGACATTTGTGGATGAAAAACAGTTCTGGCTTTGTGCTATGAGATGTGGAAACGCTCTTTTGAGCCAAATAACTTTTCATCTGCAGGAGGGTAAAGGACTTGAAAAGAATCATTAGTTTCCAGTCCTTTGGAGGAATTGGCAACAAGTAGAAAAGTGTAACAGCTGACAATTTTTCTCAGTTTCCTACCTTCAGAATACATGTTATTGGCATCATTGGCTTTGTCAATATTACACCCACACTGCTGTTCCAGATCGGTTGATGTACATATAAACTATAACGTCCTTTTCCTTAAAGATACTCTTTGAGTATGTTGAATGTGAGCAACATTAAGTCATACTGAAAATGAATCACTGTGTTAGTCATTTAAACTTTTACACTTTTTATTAAGATTTTATTTACATAAAACAAGTGACAATATACTGGATGATATTTAAGCATTATTATGAAAGTCAGTCTATTTGCCACAGAACCAGAAATAATATTTTTTCTCTCATGGGTCTGTTTTGTAGTAGTTACTGTTCAAAGTCTGCTCTGTACATGGATGATCATACCAATAAAACTATTGCAGCTGAGGGAATGCCATTTAACCAAAACAGTCACACTGATGTGTCCTACTGTGCAGATGCGGTCTTACATCAGTATATTGTTTTATGATGCTGCTGGTGTTCTTCTTTAATTCTGGAATAAGCTTTGGTGGGGTACAGCTTCTCTTTTTAGTGGGATGCTGTTCCATTTCCCTGACACCAGCATAATTATGGCAGTATGACTACAGCCTAGAGATAATCTTTGTATCTTTATTCCAGCTGCAAACTGCAGGTCACCATATCATTATGGAAATTTAAATCTTGTGTGAGTTTGAGGGGGTATAACCAGGCCTGTTAAAAGTGATGATGCTCTTATGTCCTAATTATTATATTTTTATTGGTTACACAGCTGTCCATGGTCATGGAAATCCATCAGCAGTGTGTTTAGTTTTCATGTCTGCCCTAAAGGTGTTCTGATGGGAAAAATCTTGTAAGACATACTTGTCTTGAGTCACCTTCACCTTGCCTTGACTCTAAAGGCCAAGGCATGACTACTTTCTTCAAAATCGTTCTTTTCATTAAGTCTTCTATTAAGGTTCAGGTTAGATGGCTGAAAGGGTATATAACTGGGAGAAAAAGTCCGTGAAGTTCTAAAACCTCTTGGTTGAATTTTTCTGCTGTTTTCAAGCAGCAACTGCTTTTTTAGAACCTGCTGCATTGCATGTAATTGTATGGTGCTGTGTTGGGGACAGGACTTCCACAAGAAAGAAATAAAAATGTACTAACTGTCATATATGTTAATGTAATCATCATCTGGGCAATTTCTGAGGGAAGAATGAGTATCTACTAAGTAAGACAGAAAGGGCTAGCATTTCTTGAAGGAAAGAATATAAAATGAGGCTTCAGTGTGGCTGCTATAAATTAACACACAGCAGGAAGGAGGAGGGAAATGAATTACATGTGGATGGGGAATAGCAATGGCTTGTTTGAATTCAAGGACTGGGAAAGTGATTAGGTTGTTTTTGCAAGTAATTATATTACACCAATATTTTTATTTGAAGAAATTGCAATTCCATTGCAATATATGCTAAGGTTGTAACTTAGCTTTTTTTCTCTGGGGAAAAGACCTCCATTATATCTATACATATTAAATGTGTTTGCAAAGTTGCAAGGTTAATATTTTTGAAGCTGGAACCTTTCTGTGAATTAATTAATTTTTATAATACAGCACAAAGGTTCTTCAGTGGTTCTGGTTACCCCTTCAGAGGTTTCATTTAGTGGTTTCTTCATGGTCCTCTCTTTCCTGTAGAGGTTGGTACCCATGCTCCAGGAGACAAGAAGGCCTTTAGGACTACTTTAAAGTATCTTTAGATGAAACTTTGGATTTATTCTGACTTCTCTATGACTTTTATATTTGCTGTCTACCAAAGCAGTTATATCAGCTTCAGTATTAATGATACTTTCAAGAAAGCAATTTTGGCTGCTTTTCAGTAAGCTTAGCAACATCCTGGGAAGGTAAACAAAGAGAAATTGATTTCAATATAAAGTCTTCTGGGGATAAACTCACAACTTCTGTGCTAAACAGCTTGTTCTGAAATGGTCCTTCCTGGAAATCAAGTAGTATTTGAATGTTTTTTAAATTAAAAAAAACCACAGAATTTTAAAGACATCAAATTAGTTTACAGTGTAGGTGCATTCTATTACATGACTATTAAAAAGTGCTTTAAGCCTGCTACATAGGAGATCGTGTTTGCAAAGAAAACAGGAAGGAGAAAAGTGAAAGGCTGCATTGTAACTTGCTGTGAGCAGTGTATTCACAAGGCCAAAAGAAGAAATCAGCAACAGAAGACACCAGGCTTTTTATTTTTTAGCACTTCTCAATGTGCTCTTCTATCAGACAACAGTGGAAACTGTTGCTGAGGTTAGAGGAAAATGCTAGAGTATTGCTAATTAGAGAGTGGGCAGCTGGGGTGCCAGCAGCTAGTAACTTTTCAATAAAGGGAGGGTTTTATACACAGTTTTTTATGTGAGTTGATTTTATACATTAATGAATTAAGAATAGTAGAATATTGACATGGGATTTTTTTAGTAATTGTCTGTTGGATGTCCAGAAGATGCAAATGTTTTGACATGCTAGTGTTTAAGGGAGCGCCAGTGTCATAGGTTTACGTTCCTCTTCTTGTGGTGCAGCAGTTCTGCTGTGGATCCTGGCAACCAAGATGATGTACTGTCAAGCTGCTTTGCCTGGTGTTACACTTTGCTATGTTGCAAAGCTATTACTGTTTTGAAGATTTATTCTTCTTTAAATGCACTGGCTAAAGAGTTAAATAATTACACTAAACTGTATTTGCTGGATAAAAATCAATTACATGATAGGTTTGTGTGGTGAGATTGTAGCTTTTATAACACTGCATGGAGTTAGAAAAGCAGACAAAGTATTTAGTTATGCACACCCATTTTAGTTTAAAGCAGAAGTAAGAGACTTCAAGCTACAGGTTGGGAGCAATTGCTCTGCATCCAGTTTAATGATGTACATCCATTTCAGAATGTGAAGAAGGTAGTTGGCCGGCTGGAGACCTGGGAGCCACAGCAAAGGTGGCAATATTCTTTAGCCATTTTGGGACAGCTACCAAGAGACAGGCTATTTTCACTCTGAGAGTAGGAGGGAGTTAGCTGGCATGGATACATAGGGAAAAAATGAATTGAGCCATAAAACCAATCTTTCTTCTTAAAAATAAGATCTTTAATATGTAGTAGATCTGTGCATTTTCATTTCTATGTTTTTCATCTGAAGGTCTTCCTTTTGAGAGTCAGATTTGAGCCATCAGAAGCAGAACAACTCCCATACAGCATTACCTCATTTACAGCCAGGCGCATGTCCCTTATTGATCACATGCATCTTTTCTGCTGTACATTGTGCCGCTATGGATTCACCCACGCAGTTTGCCTGAAAGCACTTGATGATTACATGACTTACACCACCTTCTGGATCACTTTTGTTGGTTCCAAGGAGCTGGCTGGTTTTCTGTTCCAGGGTGGTGTTGGGGGTGGGTGGGGTGATGTGCTGGCAGGTGTTGTGGTTGGTGCTCTCTGGCAACTGGGGTTTGTTTGGGGTGTGCTGGTCTGTGCTTCTGATGATGAATCAGAGGAAGTATTTCTGGAGGTGATAAAAGTTTCTGTGAAGATATATAGTCATCTGGTGCAGATTATAGTGGTTAAGTAATTTTTAATGTACAGTTTGAAGTAGGATGATGTGTGGCAACAAGGGGCCTCTGCCTGCTTAGAAGGTTTGGTTTCTTGGGACTAGTGCAACTTCATGTGTGCCACTCTGGTTTCTCCTGAAGAGAAACTATACAGATCATCAAAGTGTGTCTTTAAAGATTGGTTGTATATTGAATGGAGTTTATACCTTGAGTGCTGCTGCTTCTGGAGAAAATGAGGCAGTGTCCAAGGGCCATTGGGAGCATTCTTTGGGTAGGTGCTTGTTATGATTGTGGTTGTAGCCATGTTAGCCTGTGGATTGTCCCAAGCATGGCAGTTTGGAGGTTGTTTGACATTTGTCATTGTACCTCAGAAGCTGGTACCAACAGAGGTGAAGTGAGAATACAGTCTCAGTTTGGATTTCTATATTATTATTCATTTTTTTCCCAGGTTTGGGCACCTGCAGGCTCTATTTCTTTTTTTTTTTTTTTCTGGTTAAAGCAGGTACATCTGAGAAGCTTATTGTGCTGAGGACAAAATGTTTAGTTTATGCCCGCAAAAGAATATTTGTACGTTCAAAAGAAAACTTTCCAGATGAAAAGCACTCAGTCATTGAACAGTGTTTTGTTAAATAGAAGAGGTTTTTGTAGCTTAATGTTAAGTACTGGGAATTATACAGCATTACATGTAATGTCTTTAAAACATGTGTTGTAACAGATTGAATATGAGAAGAAGAAGAAAGAAGATGGAAAAAGAGCTCGAGCTGATAAACAACAAGTGTTGGACATGCTTTTTTCAGCCTTTGAGAAACATCAGTATTACAACATTAAAGACCTGGTGGACATAACCAAACAGCCAGTGGTATGTACTGCAAGTCTTGTAAATACAACCGTTTTCAGTAGTTACTACTGTGTGTATTTTATATATCTAGAAAAGAGTTTAATATGTATTATAGGCCTTAGAAACTCCTCTCTAAATATGTTTTACAACAAACTGAAATCATCAAGTTTTAAGTTCAGCATTGTAGGACAGTGTAGGATACCAAACATTGTAGTGAGTGTGCTTTTTCTTGACAGAGATGGTTTAAATAACCTAAATGGTCTCTTTTTTTATTTAGGTTTGCTTTTATACTAGGAACCTAATTCTGTAATGCTCTCATGTCTCCCGTGCTACTCCTGTCCTCACTGAAGCCTAGTTCTCTTGGCAGCAGCAGCTTATGTTAGTCTGTGGTTAGCCCTTCCCTCAGCATCTGAGCTTTATTTTGGCACAGCAATAGGGGTTGCTCTTTTTCTATATTTCATGAAATTTGTATTAAATGAAAGGATTATGCATATTAGAAGCTCAGGCATCATGAGCTCAGGCTCAATGCCTCCAAAATCACTGGATTTCCTTTACAAATAGGGTAATTTTTAGGTGAAGAGTTTAGGTGGTTGATATTTAGGATTTATTTATTGCTTTTAAACAGTGCTTTGATACACAGACAAGAAAAGCACCAAGACATCTGCCTATGTGATGGTTTTGTTGTCTTGCAGTGCCTGTCAGCCTCTTCATGTATGAACCATAACTTTCCAGTTCTTTTCCTTCTTTCCATGTTCAAGCTTTCCTTGAGCAGACCACGCAAGAGTGGCAGGGTGACAGTGACATGCAAAAGACCTTCAGTGTTTTTGATGTTTTTCACTGCCAACTTCAATATCCATCCTCAACCCAGCTGCAGATTTCAGAAGACTTAAGGGGACTTAATTATGTTTTAGTCTAAATGGAGCAACAATGTCACAGGTTATTAGAGCTAAGGCTGAAAAAAGAATAGTAACAGCTGGATTGTGGAAAAAATACTCTGTAAAAAAAATGAAGATGCTTACTAGTTTTGCTCACTTCACATTTAGAATGAAGTGTATCTCTCTGTCAGAGCCTTTGTATAGGTAAACAATCTGTTTGGTTAGAAGCTGCACAAAGATGTTACACAAGTAAAATCCATGTAGGTTCACTGTGTTCTAGTGCCTCGAAAGAAACTTGAAAGTTGAGTAACATATCCATGTCTTCCATTCATTTATCTCATGAGTCAGCTCCATATCTGTGCAGCAGAGAAGGTGTGTGGGTCATGGGAGCTGAGAAGGAGGAAGGAATAGGAGGAAGGTATGGAGGAAGTGCAAGAAAATTCTAAGTGGCTTTTATTTTTGGTAAGAGAAGTGTGGCAGTCACTATCTCGATCACTTTGAATGCAAGCTGGTACAGATTTATCTCATCTACCATGACATCAGCTTGCAGTAGACTCCCACTTAAGCCACTGGAGAACTTGAAGTTACAAATAAATTAAGGTACTTTTCTTATGTAATGGTAAATGTCAATAGTAAATTAAACCCTTGCTACAGAATATGTTGCATGTTACACAAGAAGTTGCTGCAGTCTTTATTTGTGTCACAAAATTGCAAAACAAGTATTTTCTGAATGTAATGACTGCTATATTAGGGAAACCTGGATTTATTTGTTTTTCATTCTAATGCAAAATAACAATTTGCAGTAGTAGGCAAATCTTTTCCACCTATCCAGATATAAGTACTGAATGCTCCCTGGAAATATTGCAGTAATTCCAGACTTGGGCTTCATGGCTGAGAATATAATACTGTCTGTGAGAAATCAAATATTTGTGAAGAATGGAAGCAGGATGGAGCCAGTGGCATAAGAACTGTATTTTTAAAAAATTGAGTAGATTGTTTGGATTTTTTCTTCTATTTTAGCTTTAAGTAATGGTTATCCTAAATACAACAGGGTTTGTTTCCTCCTCAAAGTTTCAGAAGTATTTTTAGAGCATGTAAGTTAACTCCTCAGAAATTTTTATCCCATAATTCCATGATAACATCTCACTTTATGTGGAAAAAATAATGAGGAAAGGTAGAACAGAGCAGAAGATGCTTTAAATACATGAACAGATCATCTACAGATGATTTTCTATGCTAGAATTATATGTACATAAACACACTGGATCCCTTTCTGAGAAAAAATTGTGGCCCCCTGATTAGCAATCACCAGGCTCTAAAATTCAGTATTTGGCATCACAGGGAGTAGTGTGGGGTTTCTCTCCATGGTACAGTGACAGAGCACTATACTTCAAGATACATAGACCAGCCTGGTGCACTGCAGACCCAGGTGGGAAATTCTGGTTTCTAGAAGGAGAACTGATCCTGCAGGAAAAATCATAGCATGCCCTGAACTCATCTCTTCAAGCCACTTGCTCTCAGGTGCAGCACAGCACAGTGGGATTATCCATGTTTCATAACAGTCTAGAAACTCCAGCAGTTGTCTGTGCACACACAGTGATGTTCAACAATTGTCTAAAAACTCCAGCAGCTCAGTGTTGTCTCTGCACACACAGTGATGTTTTGGGGTTAATGCTCTCAGCTGCCCTCCCTAACACCTCTCCTGCCTGGTCACCCCTGCAGCAGAGATGGGAAGTAAGTGGCAAATGCTCAGCTGCTGCAGTTCACGGTTCCAGCTTGAAGTGCTGTTACTCGTGCCACAGACCTTACCTTGCTGTTTGGTTTGGGTTGGTTTTGTTCCATTTTGTTACACTCTTGGAAGTTTTCCCCTGAGAGAAGCAGAACTGCCTGGGTAATTAGGTCTGAAAAGTAGTTGAAATTAAAAATAGCCTTCACGTAGCTGGGTGGGTGGGTGCTGTGGAAAGTTCAGCCATAGTGGTTTTACTGTGCCAGAGGCCAGCAGCACCATCTCACCTTGTGACCCAGCTTCCCAGGCAGACTGGATCTGCCAGTTCAGGAACTGCACATCAGTGTACCTCATGGCACTGAGTGCAATTATGGGGGATTTTTTCAGTTCTTTGTCCATGTGAACTGGAGCAGCAGAATTTAACCTTGCAGCCAGGTGTTTCTCCCACCCACTCTGCCATGCTCTGAGGTGTCTGTCGGTGACACTGCCTCGTGTGCAGGCAGTGGGTATGCAGATGTGCACATCTGCACACACCCATGCAGAAATGGCTGTTTCACCTGCTCCCAGCGCCTTCGGCACCGTGCATGGGGCATGGCTGCCGCAGCGAGCGTGTGTCCCGGGTAGCTGAGGGGAACAATGACGGCATCTCTGCAACAGACGAGGTGTGCGAGGGCACACCGCGATCTGCTGCTGCCACCTGCTGGGGTTTGCGTCTGCGCCCCAGAAGGCTGAGGAGCCGTCCCTGCACAGTGATGCCCTGCTCAAAGGAAGCACCCTAGCAGACCCTAAGAAGCTGGTTTATATGCACATCCCTGGCAGTCACCTTTCTTACGTGTTGGGCTGCTTTGCATACTTTTAGTGTGTACCTGGAGAGGGAGAGTAAGGATAAGTTTTACTAAAATACACTTATTTTACTGACTGAGACCATATTTTTTGTTCATGTATTTCCTAGCTTTTCCATTTAGCTAAAAGGGAAAGAGTGTAAGGAACACTTAGACAATCAGCCTTTTGTTATTTTCCTGTATCTTCAACATGTATTCGTTGGTTTTAATAGCTTGGAGTACATTGATATTTAGTGGAACGCAGATGCAGAAAATACAAGCATTCCAACAACTCCAGTTCAATATAAGCACTCCAACAGGATTAAATTGCTCAAACTCGAGCAATTATGAATTTAATGTGGAGATTCTTAAACTGTGGTCTGTAGTTGCCATGACAATCCACTCATCTCAGTCCCAATTAATAATTAAACAAACAAGCAGGCTCTTGTGACTCTTAAGAAAATTACTGGTGTTTATTATAAGGAGTGAAGGAGGGCAATATCAGTGAGTTGTGTTTTGTCAAAGATTATTATACTACTGGCATAATAGCTCTACTTGTTATGGTTTTTTTCTTTCTCTTCCAAGCTTTAATATTTTGAGGTATTAGAAAATTCTCAGACACACACTCAGCTCTCTTCTAAAAATGAGGCCACAATAAAATGCTTAAAGCTTTGCAAAATGGCATGAAAACCAAAAGCTTGAGGCTTTGACAAAGTTTGAATAAGGCAAGGATTTTCAAGATAATCCCAGACCAAACAGGAAGAAAGGTCAAGAGCTTTTAGCTCAATTGGAGGAAATCCAGCAGGAGGAAGATGTGTGACATAATAGTTCCCAAGAGGTGCAGGTAACTTCATTTCAGCAGCCCCTGGAGTACTTGCCTCTCAGAGGGGGTGCCTGGGAGCCATCACCTCTGGGGCTCCTGTGCTCCCTGCTGCATCCCTTGAGGCTTGTGCTAATCCCTGCTGGTGCCTGAGGGTAAAAGTCTGTCCCAGAGTCCTTCCCACACCAGTTAGTGCCCATCAGCCAGCCAGGCTGTCTGCCTCTTAGGAACTGAGTCCGTGCAATGAGCAGGTGTGCAGGAAATGTAGCAATTGCCTGCCCGTTTAATTTGAACTTTTGTTTCCTTTCAGATATACTTGAAAGAAATTTTGAGAGAAATAGGCATCTACAATGTGAAGGGGACCCACAAAAACACATGGGAGCTGAAGCCGGAATACAGACATTACCAAGGAGAAGAAAAGAGTGATTAACAAAATATTTATGATGTAAGAGTGATTGCACACAGGGATCTGTGGTGTTCACAGAGAGGACTGAGCACAGTGCAATTCTGCAAGGATAAAGATAAATTAAAGCAGCTGATACTTTGTAATTTTCTGTAGCTTTTCCCCCCAAGGAATACTTCTTGTATGTTTCTATATATGCTTTGTCTTTTGACAGGAAAAGTTTATAGAATAAATTTGTATTAGATTTATCTTTATTAGAAATCTTCTGAGTTCTCCTCTTACTTTTTCTTCGTAGCTTCATGGCTTTTCCTAGTCTTGATAACTGATGGAAAATGTGTCTTAGAGGAAACCATAACTTTGTGGGTTTGCATTCCAGTGTAACCAGGTTAATACCCTGGGTTCTGCTGGGATCTGTCAGGGCTTTGTCTGGAAGCCTGCAAATGTGCACAACCCTTTGTGCAGTGTCTGTGTGGAATGGACATGCTGCTCCTCCTGGTATCAGGCTTTAGGAAGAACAGCCACAACCATGGTGCTCATCACAATCCTTAGACTCCCTGGGAACAAACCAATGCAGTTAAAAACCCATAAAGTGAGTGGGAAGATGTCAGTCCCCTCCATGTGATTACTGAGAAAAAATGACATGTCTGTTAGGTACAGGAAGGAACAATTTTCTCTTTTGTTTGGTTTTTATGCTGATATCTATGTTCTGTTTAAGTATATCAATAAAAGTATTATTTTAATTTGTGGCACACAATATTGACTTGAACACATTATGATTTAGGTGGGATAAGTCTGAAGTGTTTGTTCAAAGCATGTTTTTATTGCTGGCTTTGCCACTGGGTTCCTCTGTGGTTTGGCAAAGATTGCTAAATGTGTCTGTGTCTCTATTCCCCCATTTTTTAAATGCACACTGCAAGGGTTATTCCTTCAACATCCTTTTTAGGAGGGAGCAGGGAAGGAACTATTTAATGATATTCTCAAAGCTTTTATGTTAGAGCAAAGAACACAGAGTGGAGATAACCTCATTATTACACCTGTAAATTAAGCAGGTGAGGTTTGATAGCTCAGCTTTCACATTCTCTCATGTCCTTCAGGTGTACGCATCATTGCGGCTCACCCTGATGCCACAGGAGGTCTGTGTGAGAAGCAGACATTCCATTATTGGTCCACTTGGAAGCAGTGAAAGGCTTAGAGAGTGGTCAAATGCTTTCAGAGGTCTGTAAAACCACTCTTATACATAAGTCACACAATTTTGCTCAATTCATTTTTTTCTAGAGTTGTTTGTTTAGGTATCTCTCTACAGCTACACTTTGGGCTGGTGCTCAGCATCCTGTGGCATTAAGTGCCCAGTTCCCAGAGAGGGACTGCTGAAAGTTTTGAAGAGCAGCTCCCATTCCAGGGGGGTGTGTGCTTTCATAAATACTGCCACTGACTCGTGTCTCCTCAGGCTCTACAGCAGGACCCAGCTGGCAGATGGCTGCAGGAGCCATCTGAGGATGCTGAGAGGAACACAGGAAATCAGCCTTTGTGTCTTGCTGGAACACAAAGTGCTCCCGGGCAGTAGCCAGGGCCTGCTCACACTCCTGTCCTCATTGTACAGCTCGAGTCCTCTGTGGGATCTGTGTCCTGTTTCAGCAGGTGAAGCTGAAGCACCCAGCAAGTCTAGGTAAGCTTCTCCATTTTATTGCCCCTCATATGATCCTCTAAAACCATGCAGGGAGATGCCATGCAATCCTGGTTAAGTTGTGGTGTAATTCCTTACCACAGGCAGAAATGACTGTGACTTTGCAGAGAGAAATGGTTACCTTGAGTGGAATCTCCAGCAGGAAAGTTTAGGATCTGCTTGTATTTCTGGTTTTATGTGAGCTGGTTCAGAGTTTGTCTTCAGTCGAGAGGGACATGATCAGTCAGCATGAAATGCCTGAACATGTAAGTAAAGGAGGTATTTTACTGATCTGCAGAGAGCCTTTGGACAGGGTAAATAAGCTCTGCTCAGGAGTAATGGAAAATGTGCAGAGCACTACGTTTTTTATGGGGTTTATGGTGTTTGCAAAGGGCTGATTTTTTATGGGTATCATTAAAAACGTGTAGAGTGCTAGAAGTAAACAGAAAAAAGAAGCAGTGGGGTTTTCAACCAGTGAGCAACCAGAAAAGTTGAGGAATGCCGAATTGTACTTCTGTGAAGTAGCATCAGTTATAAATAACGAGCAGGACAGTGAGGAAACACCATTTCAAAAATGGAAATGCTGTGTCAGAGTAAACTAAGAAAAGATAACCAGTGGAGAGTCCAGATGCCAGGTAGCTTGTGAGCTACTTTTTGACCTGCTTCCTGTGTGATTTTCAAGTTTTTCTGGCATGTTAGGGGATAATTGGAATTTTACCCTCAAAAGCTGCTACAGAATCCAAGTGGCATGAGAGAAGGGAACAATGAGCCCACAGAGATGCTGATCTAAAGCATGAAAGATGCTCTCCTGTGCTGGCAGCAGGACATGTGCCATGCATTCAAAGACTCTGCTGGCTCCTGCCTGGTGGGAGCATGTGGTAAAGATGAAGGTGGAATTTTTAGGTGCCCTTGGCAGGTCATCATCCAGCCTGCATCTGAGCCATGGGATCTTACAGTACAAACCATTGCAGAGACAGAAGCAGCAAGATAAATATGCTGCTATGATCCCCATATTCTACCTTCTGCAGTAACCCAGGGCACTGCAGGACTAAATTCAAGGCTGGGATAATGACTGAGCATTTGGGAGAACCTCGTTTGGATCCATCACTTAATAACCAGCAAAACCTCTACAGCTCTGCTGTACTTGTTCTGCACAACACCCTTACACAAATGCTGTTTGGCAGGATTTCCATCTGCCAGAAGAGAAGAGGAGGCTCGGGGACATTCAGGTCTTATTCCCTGGCCCCCACATTTGGATTAATTTAAACTCTGGACTCACAGCAGTGATGAACAATTCCCTGCTGGTCTTCCCATGTGCTGCTGTCTCTGCTCGATGCTGAACTCTGCTCATGCAGATGTTCTTGAATATTAGCGGTCAAAATGCTGCTTGGTGAGAAGGTCCCACATGAGCAGAAGTTTCTGTGTGCTAAATGCCATTAAATGAGATTAAAAGCATGTCCACTCTCCAGCCTTGCTTGACCTGAACGACCAGTTTGAGTCATTGGAAATTGCATACACAGGAAGCTCGGGCAGTACCAGCAGGGACCTGAGCAGACAGGAGGTGACAGCCACCCCTTTAGAGATCCCCTGCTCACTCAACCTCCCTTCTATTTCCCACCCCACCAGGGAAATTCTCCTCCAGAGGACGAGCATCAAAGTAAAGCTTGTGTGTTGAGAAAGAACAGTTTAATAACTGAAAATTAGTAAAATACAGTAGTAATGGTAAAAAATTATTAAAATGCTAATAAAAAAGGAAAAACAAGTGATGGACAATACAAGTGCTCATCACCCTCTGACTGATGGCAGAACCCCCCCTTATGGGTAAGTGCCCCCGTTTATATACTGGGCACGGCCTTCTGTGGTGTGGAATATTCTGTGGTGTGGTGAGCCCAGGGCCTTTGTTCTAGCTGTGCTTTCCCCCCGCCCTGTTTCTTTTGCATCCCTTCTCACTGGCAGCACAAGAGACAACAGAAAAACGTCCTTGACCTAGGGTAAACACGACTTAGCAGAAAAACATCGGTGTGTTACAAACACCACTCTGATTCCAAATCCAAAACACAGCACTGTAACAGCTACCGAGAAGAAATTAACTCAGAAAAGAGCAGGGCTGAAAATCAGGACATGGGGGTACTGGCATGGCATGTGCTGCTGGGGGTGGCTGGCAGGCTGGGGCAGCTGCAGCTGGTGGGTGAAGGGCAGAGTTGAAACACCTTTTTGTGGGCAGCATGAGGAAGCACCAGCAGCTGCAGGCAGTTCTGTGGCTGCAGCAGCACAGCTGCAGGGACAGCAAAATCATCCCTCCCTACTGCCATGGGAGAGGCCAGGGGCACCCAGCTCGGGTCAGACACAGCTGTAGGTAGAGCAGCCAAACCTCAGCCTTGAACCAGACAACTCCAGTAGCAACACTGGGGTTTTATTAGCTGAGGAGAACAGGAGTACACAGCTTTACATGGTCATTTTTCAACCACTCTGCTACAAGTAATTTGGGAAGCTGATCTTTAAAAAGCTTTCTCAACATTTATGCTCATGGACATTCCCTATTAAAAAAAAAAACAAAAAAAACCAGCTGGACTGCTTTGTGCCAACACATCTGCACCTCACTGAGATAGGAAAAAGAGGTTTGCTCTCCCAAATGCCAGCAGTGCTTCCTTCCTACTGCTGCTGGTTACAGATGGGGAGGTGAATCCCATCTGATAGCTCCCAGGATAAAGTGTGGGCTGCAAAGAAAACAATGGTTCAGCATTTTATCAATAAAAGTCCAGCTGCTGCCACATTTGGCAATACTGGCATCACACAACCAAAATAGTCTTAAAAATGTCTTCAAGGGTGTTTAGATCCCTTCTGCCTCAGGTGGAAGGTGATGAATGCAGCTCTAGTGGATTAAAATGCCCAGCAGCCATGTGCATCCTCAACAACATCCCACCCACTCCTGCAGAACACACTGGCAGGGTTGCCAGCATTTGCTGGCACTCAAAAAGCTCCCTCAAGCCACCAGCCCTGGCCACAGGCACTTGGCTGTGATCTTTGCACAACAGCTTCCAGCTGCAGCTTCCACCAAAAGGCAGCCAAGACACAAGGACTGCAAACCAGCAAGATTGTGCCCTTGTGAATGGATTTGGTACTGTTTAGGGCAAAAACGTCCAGGCTTGGCTAGGGTTTTTGCCTCCTATGAAGATGTTTATCCCTGAGCTAATGAACATGGGTGTTTAACTGCTGCTCTCCCACTGCCAGCTACAGTGACACAGAGATTTCCTGGTGCAGAGCAAAACATCCCGGCTTACAATGGTAGCAACACCCCAGGGAAGTGGTACAGAGCTAAAGTGCAGATGGAGGTTCAGGAGCAGAGGTAGACATCTTATCTGCTCCAAGTGAGCAGCAGAGTATGAGAAAGCAGAAGTATCTTCATGTGGATACTACTGCTCTTTAATGAAAGCATCCTCCCTGAACATCTGCCCACTGCCAAGACTGAAGTGGGCTGACCTGTGCCAGCTCAACAGCCAGGGACTTGCTTAGGGAAGTAAGCAAATTCCAGCTTTTCCATTTTTTCCCAAATTAAAAAAGTCTTATTTTATTTGGAAACAACCATGTCCTGTGCTTATTGTAACTGCCTTCTGGCTGTGAGCTAAACTGAGTGAAAAATTCACAAAAAAAGCCCCCAACACCAATCAAACCCAATTGTGTTTCCTACATACTTTCATTTAGAATCTTCCCTTTGCATGTTCTCCCTCCTTGTGCCAAAGCTGAGGGCTGCACAAGGCGCAAACACCATCACCCACTTGGGCTCTGGCATCCCCCCCCAGGTCAGTGGGCAAAGCTGGGCACCCCAGAGGGGCAGTGGGGGACACCAGTGCCTCTCCCAGCACACCAGATGTTCCCTGCACTGCATGAACACCCCCAGGTCTGCACCCCTTCTCCTCAAAGCAGATGGCCAAGCAGCAAAATGGACATTAACATGAGGGTATGGGGCATGGAAAGTGTTTGGGGTTTTTTGCTTGCTTCCAGAGGGCAAAAACAGCATGGATGTGTAGGTGAGATGGCAAAGACAATAATAAGACATTGAGGGCAACAAGTCAAGGAGACAATGGGACATGTGCCCAGCACAGCAGCTGCTTCCTTCAGCCCAAGGGATCACTCCTTTAACCACAGAAGTCTGAAACTAGAAAGGCAGGCTTGTTTCTCTTTTTAAGCAAATCCACCTTCCTTCTCCTGTCAGAATCCAGCTCCTAGTGGGTGCAGGAGTGGCCTCCTGGCCCACAGAGCCTGAGACCCCAGCCAGCATAAGGAAGGTTTCTAACCAGCTGCTTAACCTGCTCCATGAGGCTCAGGGAAAATGCAATTTGGATCCTTCCCAAATCCACTGAAAGTATCTTTCCAGGAATGAGAGATGCAAGCCTGATAAGCACATTCTAAAACAAGACTGAGCGAAGTCTTAAAGCTGTCCTTCAGTTCTGTGTTTTAAGCAGCACCAAGCTAATTTGTTATCATGGGGAATTTTATCAATTTAATAACTCCAAAGCTGTTGTCTGAAGCATGAAGACTTTCCTTTCCAAACCACTTCAGCTTTTCAGGCCCAGGAACAAAACAGCTGCTTGAGCTGAAGATGGGCCGGAAGAAGAGGAATTACGCCATGAGGAAATACGCAACTGCCTCCCCAGCACAGAGCTGCGTCATGGACTGTGGGCAAGTGCATTTACCAGCACGGGCTCCCCTCCCAGCATGCAGTGACTCCCAGCTCTCCCTCAGCCTGACTGCACAGCAGGCAGCTACCACAGCAGTGCAGCTGCGACAAGCACTTGGCACTGCCGCAGTCCTTCCCTGCCACACCCTCCCTGGTGCATCTGACAGATGTGATGCTGCAGAGCACCAAAACTTATCCTGAGAAACTGAAGGCAGCAATGCGTGTTTGGGAAGTGCAGTGAGCCCAGCACGAACATTTCACTTGCAGCTCACTGAAGAAACAAACAAAACCCCACATCTCCAGAGCCTTTGAACTGGCACTTCTTAGAGCAAGCTGAAAGGAGCCTTCCCACCAGAGGCGTGCCGAGCAGAAGAGCACACCTGCTTGGAGCACAGGATTCCCTAGTTAGGAATGTTAGCACACAGCAATTAAATACCCCAATGAGCCTGGAGTACAGACAGGATGACACACAATTTGCCATTCAACCAAGCAGCAAAGCTGTGTTCATTGTGCTTTGAAGCACCTGTTTTTCAAAGCAGCTCTCTGTCTGTACGCAGGTGCCACGTGGCAATTTGCTCCAGGCTGGTGCCCCGAGCTCCCAGCCTTGGCAGGACCAGCCAGCGGGGGGAGGAGTCATTTCCACTCCCACATATCAGCTCCAGAATTTTAAACATTGACTCACAGGAAGTGGGAGTCAGGGCTATGAGGGGCAGCACAGGCATACCAGCACTGCCCTGCCCACACTAACTTTACTCAACTGAGGACTGTTTGCTCTCCCTCTCTTTTAATGTTCTCATTTTTAATGAAGATGCATCAGGAAAGGGGAGAGAACATCCTCACCTGGCCCCATTAAACACATCCTCTGCAAGAAAAAGCACAAGCTGCCTCAGTGGCTTTATCTAGGCTTTGAACTTGCCTCCCAGCCTCAATGGGTGAAGCAGGCTATACCAAAATTGTACCTCATCCACCACAGCTGACTCAAACTCCTTTACTGAAAAGGCTTAAAAACCAAATAAAAAAATTAAAAACCCATATATATAACGTTCCCACAGAACTAAAATAGGGTGTATTTAACCAGACAGGAATCTGGGAGATAACTAGGGCAGGCTCCACTCCCTCCTCCAGTCTCTCACTCCTCCCAGCCTTCTGCCACATCTATCTCACCCCTGCAGAACCCCCTTCCACCTCCACCCTGCAGCACCAGGGGCCAAAAATTGACACAAGACAGCAAAGATGTGAAAACCCCAAAGGAGATAAAACAGCAAGTGGGCCATGCCCTCCCCTTTCAGGCACTTTAGCCTCCTATGCCTTTGCCATCACTGCAGCAGGAAAAGTTAATGATTAGCAGTCCAAGGCAACATCCCTGCTCAGGAACAGGGTCAGCAGCAACACACATCCCCTCGATCCAGGTGGGGCTCTGGATCTGGAAGGAATTTGTGTTCCTTTATTCAATCCAAACTGCCACCGGGTCAGACAGGCAGAAAGCGCAAGGAACCTGTTACTGTTGCATCTCAAAAGAGAACCTGAGAAGCAACAGTGTTTGCTCCAGGTCTGTCAAACAGATGCACTCCCTAACAAGGAACACAGCAGGAACATAACTTACAAACACTCAGCTAAGTCCCAAATACAGGCATACACCTGGTTTGAAGGACATCTAGGGCAGAGCTAGGCCATTCCAACATCGCTCTCCAAGAGGCCAAGTACAGAAAAGCCACAAATCCTGCAACTTGATTGAATTCTAGGTCATATGCTCCCCAACAGCTGTCAAATTCAAAGTATCACAGCCAAGCTGTGTTGGAAAACTGAGCCATTTCACCTTCTCTCCTCAGTATTCCCATTCAGCCTCCTGCCTTGATCTTGACGACCTACTACAGCTCAAGAGAGGCTCAAGTGCTCTTGTCTGACAAAGCAGCTCAGCCAGCATTCAGCTTGAGTAGCACACATTCCATTCTGGGATGTTTTTGTTACTAATTTCTTATCTCTTCCAGACATAAGACTCCACACAATCACAAAAGATGGTGGTCCACTCCATTATGACATTTCTTGGACTTTGCCTTATTGATATCAACCTGCTTTTGCACTCCAGTGCCACAGGCAAACTGTGAAATCTGTCTGGAAGTAGTCCAGTTGTATTGCTCCAGCACCAGCTGTGCTACTGGCAGCATCAATCCATGGTGCAACCTCTCCTTCAAGTCACCTTGAGAGACACATCAGACCAAAAGACATCACCTAGAATGGGTTTAAATGAGTTTTATTTTAGACAACCTACATGATAGATGTTTTTTTGTTTTTTTAAACAATGCCTCCACTCCAAATCAGGGTCAAAATAAGTGAATAAAGCTCAAGATGACATCAGTCCAGTTAGACATTGCTGATTCCTGGTGTTGTGCCGATGAAGAAGAAACAGCAGCCAGCTATGAAGACAAGTGATCCAAAACCATACTGTTTGATTTGTTACTGAAACAAGAGTAGCAAGTGTTAGTTAAAGGTCATGACATTATCAGCACATTTCTGTAACTTGTTTGTGTATTCCCTAATTCAATCTGGGCTGCCACAGTCAGGCAGGCAGAAAGCGCAAGGAAGTTATTTTTGCATCTTAGTGCAAACCAGGGAGCAACAGGAAAAGTGCTCATGGTCTATCAGAGGATGCTGATCATTTTTACAATTGTACAGAGCAACTGGCACCCACCAGCTGCTAAACAAGCCAGGCTGAGCACTCATTCACACCCTTCCTGCTTGACACACCAAGGTTCATGTTTCCCCTCAAGCACATCCTAAACAAGTACCAGAGCTTACAATGTACCCAGCTGTCTCTGGGTATATTCTAAGAAGAAAGCTGCACCAAGAAGCTGAAGCAGGTTTTACTGCACATGGGAATACCTTGCTACTGTTCTTTTACTCCACCTTGAAGTAGGTGGAGTTATCTAAACAACGCATCCAAAAGGTGTGCCCCCATAGAGGAATGTCTCCCCATAGAGGAGATGCACAGAAGCTTCTGCTCCCAGGAGGTGCCCTGCAGGTGATCACCTGTTCCAGGGCCAGAACAGACATCCCCCCTCATCAGGCTGTGGGAGGTGCTGTGTCTGTCTGGCCAACTGAAGTGTTCCTTTAACTGGGCTACTGCTGCACACCAGAATCTGGCTCATCTTTACATGACTTGCATACCAGAAAGCCTGTGAGAGGCTTTACAGATAAATTTAGCTGTCTATATACAGACTTCACAAGTCCACAATGGGCAAGGCAACTGTTGACCCCACACTGCAGTCAATTCCACAGGTCTCCAAGCAAACCAAAACCTCACAAGTGTTGAGATCCAAATACTATCTTGTGGGCAACCACATTCTAGACCATAGGAGCAGACCACAGGAGCTCAGGTAGTTGGGAGATTCCAGATAGAAAAAAAAAGGTTAAGTACCTGGTCAAATAATACTGTATTCTCAAATTTAGGGCAATATTTAAACTGACAGTTCTTGTATAAGGGCATCAGGTTAAGTGAAAGAAGACAGAATATGACCATGCAAGGTACTTCACAGTTAACTCCCAGAAAAGAGATCCAAAGTAGAAGTGCTCCATTTCAGAGGACCTGCTCTTTAATCTAATGGTTTAAACCCATTCCCAATTACAAGCATCTCACCAGGGCCATCCCTTCTGCATTTCTTGGCCATAAGTCACCATGAATCACAGCAGTGATATACATCCCCTTTTAGTACAACTGAATAGTACTCAAAAGTTTCAGGCATTTTGTATAATATTAAGGCACCAATCAGGCTGTACTTGCACAATACCTAAAGTTTTCAAACTGGCAGCTACTGTTCAACAGGGATACAGGAGAACAAAAGATGAAGGAGCTCACCATGTACTTGGGCACATTAACCCAGTTCAGTTCAGTACTTACACATTTCTCGATTTCTAAGCCGTCCTTAAAGAAAATCATATATGGGGTCACACCATCCTCACGGAAATCCAGGAGAGCCACCATTCCATCTGGATTCATGTTCTCCCCTACAAAGAACTTCAGAGGAATGTGTCTCTAAGACATTTAATTGGCTAATGCCAGGAGAAAATGCCTTTTTATACAATACTTTTGTATAAACAATGCAACATCACCAAGCTCAGTTTAAAAGTCTCCCTGACCAGCCACAGGGATTTTCCTTCTCTGCAGCTTGTCAATCTTAGTGCTACCATGGCTGATATACCAGAAGAAAGGGATGCTATCCAGAGGGACCTTGACAGGCTGGAGAGGTGGGTCCATGGGAACCTTGTGATGTACAACAAACCAAGTGCAATGCCCTATACCTGGGTCAGGGCAAGCTCAAGCACAAATACATGCAGGGCTTGGGAACGGACTGACAGCAACTCTCGGGAGAAAGACTTGGGGGTGTTGGGTGACACCCAGCACTGTGAGCTTGCAGCCCAGAAACCCAAATGTCTAAAGAGGAGTGACCAGCAGGTCAAGGGACATGATTTTGTTCCTCTGCTCTGCTAAACCCTCACCCAGAGTGCTGCATCCAGCTCTGGAGCTGGGATCCCAACACAAGAAGGATGTGGATCTGCTGGACCAAGCCTAGGTAGGCCACTGAGATGGTCAGAGGCCTGGAGCACCTCTCCTATAAGGACAGACTGAGGAAGTTGGGGCTGTTCACCCCTAGAGGCTCCAGGGAGACCTTACAGCACCCAGTATGTAAAAGGGGCTACAAAAAGGAAATTACTTTGAAACTCTAAAGAGGACAGATTTAGATGATATATTAGGAAGAAATTCTTCACTGCAGCGCTGGTGAGAGACTGGCACAGACTGACCAGAGAAGCTGTGCATGCCCCATCCCTGGCAGCGTTTGAGGCCAGCTTGGATGGGGCTCTGAGCTACTGGGTCTAGTGGAAGGCATCCCTGTCCATGGCAGGGAATTGGAACTCGATGATGCTTTTCAACCCAACACCTTCTGTGATTCAATAATTTTACCTTGATGCTATGAACAGAGCAAGAGACAGCAGGGGCCAAAGTTATCTACCTTCCAAGTCCAACTACACAGTCCCTGAATCACCATAACAACAAATGTAGCTAACTACAAGCATTACCAGCTGAAATGAGACCACCAAACAGCTAACAGTCTTTGGCTGTTTCTCCTGCCTGACTCTCAGGGCCCCTATTACTCTCAAAGACTGTCAAGTTAGCATCCCCACAACAGGAGCCATCAAAGTTCTCAACAAGCTGTTCAGCAGATGAACCAATCACAGCTTATCAATACTGCTGTAAGGAGACTTAACTTACCTGGTAGTTTTTGAAGTTGGCAAGGATGTGTTTGATTTGTTCTGCAGCCCCAGTCATGAAAGGCTTTACTCTCTCTGGCTTGTGTTCCTCAAGTCTGGCTTTGATTCTGGAAGGACAAAGAAAAAATGCTCTGAAAACATGTTCTAGCTTAATATCTTCATTGTCTGGCAGGCTGTCATAGCTCCCTTTCCCCCCACTTCCTCTCAAAGCCCCCAAATTTTAACTTAGTTTTTTAAAGTGAAATCACAGAACAGTACCTGCCACTCCTACCAAGGTTATTTTACAACCAGGCTAGTGATAGGCAAAAATCAGCAAGCCCTTTCCACAGCACCAGGAGTATCACCCACCCATATCACAAAGCTTTTTCACTTTCAGTATTAACCCCACTGAACACCAACCAACAGCTGTTACACCATGAACTAGCAAAAAGACCCATTCACACACAGTTTTTAGCTGTTTACGCTGCCACTCTAGAAAAGCTTCAGAAGCTTTTCTTTACCACCTCAGTTTCTCCAAATGAAGGTCTGGCATGGAGAAATAGAAAACAGCAAAGCTACAAATAAGATCCAAAGCACATGATCAGTTCCTCTACCTCAGCCAAAAAATAAACACAGATATTCCATCCCCCATTCTTTAGAGCCCCAGTTCCGCCAAGCATTAAGACATTACTCAAGTTCACAGCCAGTTTCACACCCGTATCAGAATGAACACCTGATAGGAATAAATCCAATGCTGTTTTTACAACCTCAAGCACACAAAACCCCTGCAGTCCAACTGAAAGGAAAGGCCTGCCAACACTTACGCTTTCATGTAATCCTTGATGTACTTCTTGTAGGATTCTTTTGTGAAGCTGGTCTCCTGAAGGTGGTGGTTAATTACTATGTCAACACCAGTTATGACCGTGGCTTCTGTTCCATCTCCCTCAGGACCTTCAGCAGAGGCATTGCCACCAATTAGAGAGTCATCAATTTGACCCTCTGTCCTGGTGACCATCTAGATTTAGAGACATCAAAAAACTTAACGGCTCTGCAAAAAACCTTAGCACTACCGCTCTTACACTCCTATGACCTGACAGCAGGGCACAACTTGAGAGACATAGTTCAGTGCAAGGAACCTGGCTGCAGTTTGAGCACTAATTCCCCAGTGACAGGAAAAGAGGGAACGGTTTAAATTGAAAGACAGTAGGTTCAGATTAGATATTGGATAGAAAGTCTTTACGTGGGAGGCACTAGCAAAGGCTGCCCAGGGAACCCATGGATGGCCCACCTCTGGAACTGTTCAAGGCCAGGCTGGATGAGGCTTTGAGCAACCTGGTCTAGTGAGTCCTTGCCTATGGCAAGGAGGCTGGAACTAGATGATCTCTAAGGTGCATTCCAACCCAAAGCGTTCTATGATTCTGACTGCCAAGCACGACTCCCGCACGGTGCACAACCGAAGCTCCATTACACTCCAGCCTGGCTGACTCGGGCTCTCTCAGGCACCATCTACGGCAGCACGGGGCACTGGGCCAAGGTGAGTCTTCTCTCTTTCCCTGCTCGGGCTCTTCGCAAGGAGGCCACCCCCACTCCCCACCGGCCGTGAGTCACCGCGGCAACCCTTCCTCCCTCCCTCCTTCGGGGCGGGCAGGCACTCACCTTCCCCTCCACTTCCAGGCACAGGCCGTCCGCCACCTCCCGGATCTTGTAGATGTCCGAGAACATCTCATCCTCTGCAGGGACACAGAAACGCACATACACACCCAGCCGCGTCAGCCTCCGCCT